ACATCATTTCTGGCCGTATGTTTCCTTGTCATTGGTTTTCATTGTATTTGTATCTCTTTAACTTAAGAAACTTTCATTTTTATTTATTTTTTAAACAAATGATCCTTATATGAAAGGTGCTATATTATTGAAGTTGAGAGTTGTTTTGCAATAAATGGTTACCCTAACTAAAGAAAATTCAATGACAGATAAAGTAATCCTGATCAATGAGAGTAAGACTTGGGATGAGGCCCTGACTTACTGCAGAGAGAACCACCATGACCTGGTCTCCATCACTGACAGACACCAGCAGAGATGGGTCCAAGAGAGAGCCAAGATGGCCGACACTGAGTTCGTCTGGCTGGGAATGCGCTACACCTGCACTCTGGATCTGTGGTTCTGGGTCAATGATCGTCTGGTCTGCTATCACAACTGGGCCCAAGACAACATGGATGAGCAGTGTGGCATGGCTGGAGTCATGAAGAGAGATGGAAAGTGGTACACAACGGCTGACAATGAAAAGTTTAATTTCATCTGCGCTAAGTAAACCCATTGGTATATTTACTGCAACAAGCTCACTCTTCTCTAATATGTGTCTGCTCTCTGGGTTTATTGAATGGCTCTAGTTCAAATATAGAAATCACAACCTGAAGAGGGGAGAAACTAAATTACTAACAGAATTATTATTATTAATTACTATTATTAATAATTTATTTTTACTAATTGAGGATTAGAAATTGAGAAAAATGGGCGACACTAAATGTAACGTGTTTTTGTCTCTGTGAACATCTGAATTACTTTATATGTTTTTGTTGTAGTAGTTATTCATAGAGTACATGTTTATTTATCCTCTTAAAGTGTGAAACATGTAATCATCATTTGAGTTATTGTTGTGTTAAATCTATAATGTTTTGCTTTTCATAAAATATTTAACTTTTTGGTGATGGTTAAAATATGTAAAACCTTATTTTGTCATATTTACCTTCTTTGAGTTTGGAAAGAAGGTAAACTGGATGTTTAATTTTCTAAAGCTGAATAAACGATCCGAAAAAACAGGATGTGGTGCTTTCTTCCACTGGCTTTAAATATGAATGTTTTACATTTACCTAAGAGGTGCTTATTTGACAGTAAAACACATATATAATATAATGTATGGGTTTATAATGTAAAGGGATTCCTCCATGGCTGTCATTAAGCTCTAAAACACGTGGCAGAAACATACATAATTGTCCGCCTTTTTCAAACAGTTTAATGTAAAGGTAGGGTAAGTAAGTTTGAGAAACCGGCTCGAGATACACTTTTTGTTATATTCCATGGAATGCTCTTAACATCCCGATAGCAATGAATATCTGAAGTGCTTTGACAAAAAATCCATAAAAAAATGTCATCTGTGGAAGCTGTAGTACTGTAAAAAGCACGACCAATCATTTTAGCCGGCCCGGCTAAGATTGTCAATCTTTCAGTTTGTGTGTACAGACAGAGAGATCGAAATACCGTTTCCCACAATCCTGAATACAAAAACAAATATATATAAAAATATGTATGCAAATATGTATATACCAATCAAAGACACATTTATACATATGCACATATTACAACCTAAATAAAACAGCTCCACAGCAGCACCACCGATGGTCAGTGGGTGTTGGGTGCAGGTTCTCCTGAAGTCGTCAACAATCTGCTTTGTTTTCTCCACATTGAGAAAGAGATTGTTATCTATGCACCACGTGGCCAGCTGGTTCACCTCCCTCCTGTAGTGGGTCTCATCGTTGTTGCGGATGAGACCCACCACGGATGTGTCATCCGCAAATTTGATGAAGTGGTTGGAGCTGTGGGTGGGTGTGCAGTCGTGGGTCAGCAGGGTGAAGAGCAGGGGGCTGAGCACACATCCTTGGGGGGCCCCCATACTGAGTGTGATGGTGCCTGATGTGTTGTTGCCGACCCTTACTGCCAGACCCCAGATTGGGGTCTGGCAGTAAGGAAGTCCAGCAGCCAGTTGCAGAGAAGCGGTTGAGGCCCAGGTTTGTTAGTTTACAAACCAGCTGCTGGGGGATGATGGTGTTGAACGCTGGACTAAATTCTATGAACAGCATCCTAACATGAGAGTTTTTAGTGTCCAAGTGGGTGAAGCCTGGGTGGAGAGCAGAGGAGATTGCATCCTCAGTGGACCGCTTCGCTCGGTGAGAAAACTGAAACGGGTCCAGCGAGGGGGGGTGGGTAAGATTTTATGTGCTTCATGACTAGCCTCTCAAAGCACTTCATGATGGTGGAAGTCAGCGCTACGGGGCGGAAGTCATTGAAGCAGGAACGTGATGACTTCTTCAGCACAGGTATGATGGTGGTTACCTTGAAGCACGAGGGAACAACAGCCTGGCTCAGGCAGCCACTGGCAGCCAGTGAAGGCGGAGGAGTGGTGTGTCCATGGGAAGAACTTAGGGAGGTTGAAAACCAGTCGAGCTGCAGCAGTTTGAATGAGTTGTAAAGGTTGGATGGTGCTTGCAGGTAGACCAGCCAGGAGGGAGTCCCAGAGTTTTAGTAATCAAGTCGTTTCCAGGAGAAGCCATGAGAGCACATTTTGGAGCCGAGTGAATTGACATACAGATCCGCTCCAAGTTACCCTGTAGGTCTTTGAGGCAGGAGGTATGCAGCGAGGGTGCAGAGCCAGAAACTCACAGTTCTTGGAGGGTGTGAAGGAGAACTGGTGGTTTAATGTCAACGCTGAAAAAGGTTCAGAAGGATGAGGATGGAGGAGAGGGAGGCTGCTCTAGCAGAACACGGATTGTCCACCAGAGAGCAGCAAAGAACATATTTTTAACTATAGAAAAAATGATATTCTCTTAAACTGTTTGAAAAAAGCAGACGATAATGTATGTTTCTGCCACGTGTTATATGGGACTTTCTACTGAATTAGTACAAAGTGCGGTCCCACAACAAGAAAAACTATTTAACAAAACAATTAAGTATTCAGACATAGATATTTACTAAGAATATGTTATGGTCTATTTAAACACAAGGCATTACATTATATAGTGATAAGCTTAATATATACAAAAACATCATTTATAGGGTACTTTCTATTGGGAAGTAGCTGTCCCCAACCCTGACATCTACATTTCAATTTCTGTAAATAACAAATAAACCTTTTTTTTAAATGTTGTTCAATGGTGTATTTAGAAGATCTTTATGATTACATTCAAACAGAAGTTGGAATATTTAGATTTATTGTGGGTATCATTTTTTAATAAAAAAACTATACTCAAAAAATCATGTCCCCAGTTTTCATGTCACTACCGAAACACAAAGGGTTTTAGTCCAATGGCTGAGCCTGGTTTTTAGCCACACCCCTGCATTTTTGACAAGGCAGTGACACTGCATCCCTGTCCCTCATGGCTGAATGGCAAGTAGCTATATCCCATACTTTTGATATAAATCTGTTCCAAAATCAGAAAATTGTAACCTTAAGAATTGTCACTACCGAACACATATTATCTTCAATTAAGTAAACTTTTTCTGGGTTTTATGCAAAGTATTAGGTTTTTATGTGTGTAAACCTCTTCAAAAACGTGTATGCTAGCCATGCACTTGCTAGCATTCTTTAGTTATGCTCAATTTTAGCTAGAATCGTCACTACCGAAACAGTCACTACTGAAACATATGGTTAAGTTTCGGTAATTGACATGAACGTTTCGGCAGTGACAAAATGGAATGGTAAGCAGGTAAATCCCATAGTTTTGAAATAAATGTGTTTTAAAGTCTGAAAATCAGTGTGTTACTTTAAAGGTCTCTTATTATGCTATTGTTAGGCATATATTATAAGTCTCAGATATATAAAAAACATGTCTATGAAGTGTTTTGCTCAAAATACCAAACAGATCACCCATTCTAGCCTCATTCCCCTCTATTTCAGCCTGTTACTAAAGTACTGAATCTGGGTCAGTAGCTTCAAACATTCACACTTCAACATAAGGCATGTTATGAGTTAAGATTAAGCAATAAGGTTGAGGGAATATGATACAACCTTGAGAGCAAAATACTGTGGTCACTACCGAAACAGTGGATGTTTTGTAAAAAATTAAGTATATTGAGTTATCAACTAAAATGATATGATACTGATTGGTTTAATGTATTTTCAATTTCAACAATCATAAACTCTGGAATCAATATGATCAGTATTATGCATTTGACAAAGAAAGTTTGCATTATGATTTTTATGAATTGTATAAATTGAACTTTGAAATTTGATTAAAAATTCACTTTTATTGATTTAATTGTGAAAACCCTCAAGAAATATTTGTTAAAATACTATTTAGAGAAGGGAAGGTAAAACAATCTTAACAGGTTAATATAATAGTTTTCTACTACAGTGTATGTACTATGTTTCGGTAGTGACCATTTTTGGTAGAGGAAGAACATTCCAATACAGTCTGAAAATACGATATACAAATGTACGGTTCTTTTACTAGATATGTGTAATTTAGATATGGTACAAAATATATATGGACAAAGTTTTGGGAAAAAAACATACAAAATTTCAAAACATTTCCAACCTGACTTTGGTCCAATTCGGTAGAATGGCCCATATAGCTAATATTAATTAAACTTTTACATTTCAATATAGTGTAAAACTGAACACGTGTGCAGTAAAGTTTCCAAAATATTTAATGGGGTTAAATTGAGGCTCATGTTTTAATATCACAGGACATTTATTTTCACCAAATTTCTATTTTGAAAGTCATAATGAAATTGTTTGTAAGATGTTTTTTCATGCATTGCTGTGACTTTCATAGGCATATCTCACTGACAGCAGGCTCATATTTTCAACAGCATATCTGGTTAAAGAGCGCCCTCTAGTGTTAAAAGATAACTAGACCAACAAAAACATCTCCATCAATTTACAAGTTTATACAATTATAAACCCATAGATTATATATCTGTTTTACTTTAAAATAAGCACCTCTTATGTAAATGTAAAACATGACTATTTAAAGCCAGTGGATGAAAGAACAACACCTTGTTTTTGGGTCAGATCGTTTATTCAGTTTTAGACAATTAAACATCCAGTTAAAACTCCATTAAGGTAAATATGACAAAAATAGTGATACACATATTATAACCATCACCACATTTCAACCATAACGTAACATATTTTATGGAAAGCAAAACATAATAGATTTGTCTTTTTATATATTTTTTCTCATAAACATATAATAGGACACAACAACAATTCAAATGAAGATTACAGGTTTCACACTTTAAGAGGATAAATATACATGCATTATATCAATAACTACTACAACAAAACCATATCAAGTCATTCAGATGTTCACAGAGGCAAACACATGTTAAATTTAGTGTCGCCCATTTTTCTCAATTTCAGTTAGTAATCTGTTAGTAATTTAGTTTCTCCCCTCTTCAGGTTGTGATTTCTATATTTGAACTAGAGCCATTCAATAAACCCAGAGAGCAGACACATATTAGAGAAGAGTGAGCTTGTTGCAGTAAATATACCAATGGGTTTACTTAGCGCAGATGAAATGAAACTTTTCACTGTCAGCCTTTGTGTACCACTCTCCATCTCTCTCCATGACTCCAGCCATGCCACACTGCTCATCCATGTTGTCTTGGGCCCAGTTGTGATAGCAGACCAGACGATCATTGACCCAGAACCACAGATCCAGAGTGCAGGTGTAGCGCATTCCCAGCCAGACGAACTCAGTGTCGGTCATCTTGGCTCTCTTTTCGACCCATCTCTGCTGGTGACTGTCAGTGATGGAGACCAGGTCATGGTGGTTCTCTCTGCAGTAAGTCAGGGCCTCATCCCAAGTCTTACTCTCATTGATCAGGATCACTTTGTCTGTAATTGAAATGGATATATTTTTTAGTTAGGATAACTATTTATTGCAGAAAAACTCAACTGTAATAATATAGAACCTTTCTTACAATAATCCTTGTGTTTTTTAAATACATACAAGTCCCCACAAAAAATAAATAAATAAGATACAAATGGAATAAAAACCAATGGTAAGGAAATATAAGTCCAGAAATGACGTGGCACCTTGTGTAAAAGCCAGGTTAAAAAGATGCGTCTTAAGGACAAAAACATGACTAAATGATATTCAAACTTTAGTAAGAATATTATATTCACAGTCTCTCGTAAGATTAAGGACAGAATCCAGATCATTAATTCTGTGTATATTAAACATATTTTCACAACTAAAGGATATTCAACATGAATGTAAAAATATATAACTGAAGACATGAAATAAGAATACTTTACTTATAGACTTTTGCAAAACTCACCGTCATAGCAGTAGAAGGGTTTTGGATCCATGCAGTTGTCGGAGCTCCACTTTCCATTGGACGTAGTCATAGCACATGTCTTTGAGGCTTCATCTTTAAATGAGTCCGGATCCCAGTGTCTGAAAGAGAAATTCTTCCCATCTGACCAGCTCCAGATCTCTCTGAACAGGCCGATCCACAGGACCTTATGAATTATACCCTTATCTTGGACACGTTTCTTGAATTCATCAACCCGTTCCTTGAATCCATCTGATCTGATGTGTGTGATTCCACTGACCAGGTCAGTGTGATTTTCTCTGCAGTAGCTCTGAGCCTCAAGCCAGTTCTTTGGTTCATCAATTAAAAAGTATTTCTGTGGCCCTGTTTCTGTGAGAACGAAAAGACACATTTTACAAGTTTTTAAATAATGTTCTCTTATTTAAATCATGTTAAAACAAATAATGTAAAACAAATATGAATCCCATCTCACTTAAGTTTCAGATTGATGAAAGTGTTTGGTATAATAATGTAGATTGCATCATAAAAAAAAGGCCTATACTTTACCATTACAATTTATTCAAACAAGTAGAATTGTATCAAAGTTACCAATAATGTTATTTTAAAAGTAAAAAGCAACATTTATTTTCATTAAATGTAACCACAGTGTACAACATGTGTTATCTGTCAACTATTGTTACACAGTATGATATCATTTATATAGCGTTAATAGTGACATATACTCACCATTGTAGCAGATAAACCTTTTAGGGGTGCGAGAACAATGGTCATCGTACCATTTTTGGGAGGTTTTAATCACCACACAGTTCTCAGGATCGACACCTCCATTGTTCGGCTCATTTGGAAGCCATTCTGGATCACATTCTGTAGGATTGTACTTCTCCCCCGGCAGAGACCAGCGCCACTCTTTGATCATTTTTTCATTGATGCTCCTCAGTCCAATCCAGGCGCCTGTAGTCTGTGAAGAGTTAGTCAGTCTCTCCACGTCTCTCATGTCAGACACTGTGGCCAGGTCAGTGAAATGCTCTCTGCAATAACTCTGGGCTTCATCCCAGGTCTTTCCCTCAGGAATGAAGTGGTACTCATAGAGGTGACATGTGAAGAAGGAACACTGACCTAAAAACAGAGACCATTCTGCAGTGATGGAGCTGACAGTATGACAAGCACCTGATCATTAAATCAAACTCATGAGTACTAGAATCACCCCCACCTCTTACATCATCCCCTTCATCTTAATGGAGCTCTGAGTTCACTTATTCCACTTTTTATTGTTATGAAGAGTGAGCAGTTTCATGACTCCAGATGTGATATTAATTTAAAATCCACTTACCCATCAGAAAGAGCACAAACAGACTCCACTGCATCTTTGCTCTGTTAGATGAAACCAACATTGTTAGTGTACAGTGATCATTTACAAATCTTATAAATTATGTCAGTTACATTTAAATTATTTAAAAAACCTAATGGGTCAGTCAAATGACCAGAAACACAGACTGCACCACTCTCTTCAGTGCAGCAGTTTAATGAGGAAGTTCATGTTAAGGAAATGCAAATTCTGAGCAGCACCAGCAGTAACAGGCACACACCACCAGGCTGTCAGGAGGCTGAACTCTCTCCCCCCCTCCCACCTCTCCCCTCTCTCCCTTCTATATCACCTCTCCACCGTGCCCCCACTGGACTTTAACACCCCCCCCCCCCCCCACACACAGACACACACAAACACAAAAAATCCAGCACCAGTCACTTTTACGCTGCTATGGAAATATGTTGCACTCTCATTTGCACTATGTACATCATCTTTTTTTATATATATATATATATATATCCTGCTTACTTTAAGTAAACGGTTATTTCGTGTTTTTTTGTAATTATTGAGTGTTCTTGTATTTTAATGTGTTATTTTATACCTCGGGACTGTCGGAAACAGTATTTCGATCGTGTGTACAAACCTATTTTGAGATTGACAATAAAGTTGACTTTGACTTGACTTGACCATAACATTTATTTTTAGCACATGGAAATGTCTCATTTCAATGAAACACCATTTGCAAACTAAACAATAACTGTATAGTGCCACACAACAACACTGACTTTTTGTCAGTTTGTTTTTTTCTCGAGGCTATACGTATTAATATGTTGCTGGTGATATATTTTGTAGATTATTTATTCACATTACAATGTACTCCTACTATCAGAGACATAAACTGAAATTCTAGCTTCATTAAATTGTGTATCGTTGCTTTTATAAGCCCAATTAAAAGATGTGTGTTAATTATTTCATTAGGGGTGAACTAACCCTAATGAAAATTACATTTTGTTTATTTGAACTGAGAGTGAGATTGCTGTGTATACACATCGTCTCCAATAAAACATTTAAGATTTACCACCGTTTTTTAAAGCAGGAAAATAGTGTTTTTCCAGCCCTGAGTAATGTCTACGGGACAGGCTGCATACATCGCCCACAAAGCTCTAAAAACCTAACATGAACCTGAAAGGTAAAACTCAGGGCAAACATGTCCACTAGACTCAGACTGTTTTGTTTTCATTATAAATGTCCAGCGTTCTTGGTAAAGTGCCGACTTTTGTAAAAAATTAAATGTTTCAAAGTGAACATTAGATACAGTTTATTATTCAAAATAAACACTGAGTTTTTTTTATCAAAAAATAAACATTCCAAGTGATTTCAAGAGAAACAAATTATTTAAGGGAATAAATGAACATAATAGGGTTTTAGATTTCATTGCTTCTGATTGAGATGTGATTCATTAAATGTTCCTCCCCTTTGGAAAATATTCTGAAGGAGAATATCTTTCTCAAACATAAACAAAATATGAAAATGACTGAACAGAATCACACTTACTTCTCCTGAGTCGTCCTGTCAGCTGCTTCTCTCTCCGTCTCTCTCGATGTGCTGGTGAAGACTCAGATATCCACGTGGTCGCTGCTCTCTTTGAGCCACCTTTGGGGAAACATTTGAATATTAAAATTCAGATGTCAACGAGGTCTATCATGGTGGATATATGATCCATTGAAGGAAAGAATATTAATTAAATGTAACAGGGAAAAAGGTTGAACACACTTCCTTGTTGACTGTCTGACACACGGAAAGAAAGGTACCATTCCAAAATATGCACTAATGATAACTATTGCATGTTTATATTTTTATATTTTTGTTCGGATATTGCTTGTTACCATATGTCGAAAAACTTTAAGAGAACATTCTGGCTGTATTTGAGCCCCTCATATTACAAGTTTGTCACAATTATTTTAGTTTCAGTCACATAGTTTCTTTATTCTGAAACACAAGTCAAAAACATTATCTCTTTGTTGTCTCTATTCTTATGAGTCTGTCCATCCAGCTATTTCATTCCTGTGAATGCTATATCTCAGGAGAACGTGAGGAATTCATTCAAGTCTTGCACAATCTTCCACTTGGACTCAAGGATGAATCCATTTCTGTCACATTTTTGACCTTTTGATTGTGGTCAAAAGGCCAAAAGTCTCTGTGACCTCACAAAACACGATGTTGTGGCAGTAACAAGAATTAATATGTTAGCTATGACAATGTCACTCAACTTTCAGATAGGATAAAATTATGAATCGATGACATGTTGGACAGACATGGATGTAAACTGCTACATGACTGGTTGGCAGAAGCACACAAGTGCCAGGCGGTAACTCCAGTTTCCGTTTCAATGGGAGAACTTTGTAGTGCTCTTAATAGCATACATTTTATTGAAATAAGATATTCAAATAAATGTGCAGGCATTTTATACACCAATAACTATTCATTAGTATTATCCTAAAGTATATCAAGATCAGTAAATAGCAATAATTGTGCATAAACAAGATACTTTTGAGAAAACAATTTCTCAAAAGGACCAAGTGTAAGTCAGTGTGGGATACCTTAAACAAAACCTTAAGACTTGATATGGAACGATTGAAAACTATTGTCTGAATTCTACAAGAAAGATAGTGATAACAACCACTTATTAAACTGGTAATTGTCTAGCTTCACAGATCATGTTTAAAGTAAAATATTAAATATAAATATACATAATACAGTAGGGATTACGGACTGATCCAGCCAGGCCATGTACAGAGCACTGGGGCAGTCGCTGTGTGGCACAGGAAGGCTCCCGGAATATTAACATCACATTTACATGAACATATCAAAACAGCACAACAAGAACAAAGACTGCTCTTACTTGACTTAGGAGGAAACATATCACAAGTCAAATGAGTGCACGCTATGGTTTGCAGCACAGCTAAACAGACCTATCCCATATTTCTCTCCTATTTCAATAACTCTGCCATGGCAACAATCACAGTGGCCTCCTTTTTAATACAATTTGGCATCGATGTTTTCATGTCCTTATTCTGATAAAGAGGCCTGAATACATGTTTCACCTGCTCTATATTTCATGTATAATACAAAGCCTTAGACTTTACTTAAAGAGAGCAAGATCAAATGGGTGGTCGAGGATCTCATGATTTGACCTTAAGGGCTACAGTATACTATATATGAGGCCCTAAAGCAACTGCTCCATTATCTGTATCTAATGCACACATTGATGCCACCAAATGAAACAATAAAAAAAGAAAGTACTACAAATAAACTGGAATTAATTTCACATCTTAAATTATTATTATATACACAATATATCACCAAATTCTGTGTTATTATGACCTCAGCTTTATGCACACACATATTTTGCATGGTTTAAGAAAGACGGGTCGGGGGGGCTTCTGCGACACCGCTGCAGACTCTCTGCGCACACACACACACACACACACACACACACACACACACACACACACACACACACACACACACACACACACACACACACACACACACACACACACACACACACACACACACACACACACACACACACACACACACACACACACACGCCGTATTCATGGAGTCAACATTGGGGGGGACAAAAAATTAAATCAAAATTTGAATACTAATTTCCTGCCATTCTAAAGGAAAATATATAAAAATTCACTAACACATGGGATACTTTAAAACCTGTCAAACCCCATGCCCCTGCCCGTGGGGGCAAAAAACAACAATATTCACGAAACTGTGTCTCAGGCATGGGCGTAGGAAGCATCCTCAATGTGGGTGGGACAATTTGACGGGGGGTGTGGGCAGGTGGTGGACCTAACCTCCTCTAGGGGGTCAGGGGGCATGCTCCTCCGGGAAGATTTTTTTTTAAATGTTGAAGTTAAATGCATCAATCTGGTGCACTTTGAGAGCAACATTAGGGACTAAATCTATGGATACATCTCTCAAAACCATATGAAAGAGAACTGAACAGATTTACTTTTTCTTTATGCATATTTTACAAATCATACCCCTTTTAATCTGTAGTATGAGTTGGAATTATTTCATATTACTTCCTTTACTCGCTACTTTACTCGAGGTTGGACTACTGCAACGCTCTGTACATGGGTATGGACCAGGCGTCAATTAAACGCCTGCAGCTAGTCCAGAACGCAGCTGCACGTCTACTCACTGGCCACAAAAAGCATGACCACATCACCCCAATTCTGGCCTCACTGCACTGGCTTCCAGTTCGGTTCAGAATTGATTTTAAACTCCTTTTATTTGTTTTTAAAGCACTAAATGGGCTGGCTCCGGCCTATATAGCCGAACTCCTCCAGCGCTACACCCCAGCCAGAGCTTTAAGGTCTGCTGACCAGCTGTTGCTGATAGTGCCCAAGACCAGGCTCAAAACCCGAGGGCACCGAGCCTTCGCAGCAGCTGGCCCTAGGCTCTGGAACACTCTGCCCCTCCATGTGAGGTGGGCCCAGACCGTAGGGGTTTTTAAATCTACTCTTAAGACACACTTCTTCTCCCTGGCCTTTTAGTCAGAGCGGAGCACGACTCCTGACTTTTCCCTGTGTTTTCTTTTTAAATATCTGTTGTAATTTATTGTCTTTTATTGTGATTATAGAAATGTGTTTTTATGTGATTGTAGTTATTACATGTACAGCACTTTGGCCCGACCAAAAATCGCTTTTAAATGTGCCCTATAAATAAACCTTGATTTGATTTGATTTGATTTACACTACCCATAATCCTCAGCTATCGTTTGGGACTACAACATCCGCTTTGCTTGACAAACCCCGTGATTAGTCCTCAAGCTCTGTGATAGGATGTTGGAGTGGCAGTGCGCCAAGGTTACGCCTCGCGTCAAACAGCTCTTTGAAATGGAATGAAACCACGGCACACTATCCAAAACTGGACTCGAACAGGTCCAGCCCCACCCCTCACCCCCCAGAACTACACATGCTGGATAATTGTGTTTCGCAACATGTTCTATGGCACGTCTCTACTGGGAATTGTAGTTTTAAAAGACGTTTTCGTATTTCCCATAATTAAATCATTTGACAGTGAGGGGAATACGGTTTTATTATGAAAACTTCGAGACTGGAAATACTGTTTTCACCCCGTGAGGGTTGACGCTAACAATGCCATGGTAGGCATGGATGCTGCCGTTACACGTTCTCCTGGCGAGACCTCAAATCATCTATCAAACTATAGATCCTACACATCCACTGGACGTGGATTCTAAAAGTACAATATACACTTCTCGCTAGAAATCTAATCAAAAAGCATTTTAATGGCCAAACTATCCTATGATTTTCCAGAGAGGGTTATTTATGAAAATACGACCCTCCGGAGCGTTTGCAGTCAACGGGAGCACTAGAGGTTGATAACTTTAAAACGTGATTATAGGTCGTAATAAGCGCTTGAACAATTGATCTATTTGGCCGTATGAGTTGGAGGACTTGTTGGGCAAATTTAAAGAAAGATCAAATGTTGAGATACATGGTGACATCTAGTGAGTTTTATGTGCATGTGCAAGAATATATGTAACTATAATATAGCATAAAAAGTATATTTAAAGTACCAAAACTACTTATTTTGCGTAATCTGCCATTTCTGGTACAACTCGAATAAAGTAAAAGCATCAAAAATAAACTTTAAAGTATCTTTATTCCTTTTTATTTTTTAATTTAATTTTGTTATGGCTTGTAAATTGCATTGATGAGGAACCTGCTATCTAAGTTTTTCATTCATTACGTAATTACACCGTAGTTCTGTATATAATATGTAAATGGAGGTTCATTAATCAAAAACGTAGAGATAAATGGTGACATCTAGTGAGCTTTTTGAAGTAATACAACTATAATAGCTTTTAGTTTAATACCAAATCATTGATATCTGATCAGATGCAGTCTTTAATCTGCTTTATTTGCATGATAGTCCAACAACACCACAGAATAATGTTTTACCTGCAGGCTCGTATCTTCTTTTTTAATTTGAATACAAAAGTCATTGCTGGGATTTAAATTCTGTCAAATGTATATTTTAAATGACGCATACAATCAGAGTCAGATTTGCATTCATGTATTACGACACTGGACACAGGTGTTGAATGTAAACTCAGACAATAAATAGATAGATTTTCAAAATGTTAGATTTTTAAATAGACTGATTTATTATTGGCTAATCTATCAGTAAAGTTGATGACTTGTCGAAATGAATGAATGAATGAATGATGTTGTTATTGTTTCAGTCATTAGAGGTTAGTGTCACTGCAACAGGTGTATGAGACGAGAACAATTTACCTAGAGAAATGAACCGTATGAAAAGGCATTAAAGTCAGGAAAGGTTTGTCAATATGCAAACACACACACTTACAGAAACACACACACACACACTTTTCTGATCAGACATCAGTTTTGAGGCGTCTCAGTAGCACGAAGGGCAGAAACACTAACAAGGTGGGTGTCTTTTAAGAATATAATTACATGTTTAAGTTGTTAATGTTATAATACGATCACTTGTGTTATGACTTCATCTGGCAATTACTTCTTAACTAATTGATCTGTGTTTAATTTAGTTA